CCGGCTAAGGCAGGCTAGTCCCTACCAGTTCTGACACCGCGCTGCGCCCCGGAAGTGGCCAACAGGTCTGGCTCCTAGGCAGGGGGGCGGGGACGGGGCTCCGCACGCTGCCCCTGCCCCGAGCCCGACCAATGGAAAGCTTCTTCACCCCAAACCCCTCATCCCTGGCCCCACCCCAGAGCCTGCACCCCCAGCGCTTAGCACAACAGGGTCTTGATTTCCGTGGAGGTCCCAAGTTCAACTGTAATACATCATATAATTAATCCTTAGGAAATCCACCTCGTATTGTAAGCCCCGTAACCCTTCTAAAGACAGTAGGTTCAGAGTAGATCAGTGTTTGGATGTGGGACCTAAGGGAACAGAATTCAAACATATGTTTAGATTATGTTAATAGTTTGAATCAACAGGCGCAGCAGGTTCTGAGTAAAGTCCAGATCCCCACCCATTGGGCAGTGCTGTGATGCGATGGAGTGAGTGAAGCTGAGTGTCTCTTCCTTAATTCAGAATTATCTTTCTTTTCTGGGGTATTTAATTACATACATTCATTTCTGTAATTAGATCCTAAACATAATCTGATTGTGGGTTTGTTTTTTGGGGGGAAGGTGACTAGTATAATCAGGAGCCATGTTAGCTCTGTTCCCTCATTTCATTTCACTAAATTGCTCAACATGAAAATGAAGCTTGGAGGGTTTGCTTGGAGAAGTGGCTGTGGATATGTTCCAACCACTTCTCTCTGCCTCCAGGATCCTTGTGAGTTATCCCAATAACCACAACTATCCAGGGCAGCTTGCTGGTTTCCTTATCCCATGCAAATTAATCACCCAAACTATTGTCCAATCCAGGGGGTTGTACATACTGATCTAAGATTTTGGTGCTGGGGTCAGCACTTATCCTGACATCACTAACAACTGCCTACACACACACACTGAGTTTATATTTCACCACACTCATATATTAATACAGACAGATCCACACATGCCAGCACTACACACGTAGACATCATAGTCACACATTATGCTTTCAACCCACACAGATACACACAACATACACCATGCTTGTATACACACAGACACACCCACGCAGACACCACATTCCACACATGCCCCCCATACCCATTACATACACAACATATACACGTGCTCCACACTTAAATACACACCATACTTACATACACACACACCACTCAGCATATGCCGCATACATGCACACTGCAAATGCACCAAATAAATAAGTACACACGGGATGCACACACCTCAAAGATACATGTGCAAAGTTCAAACAATGCAATTACATACACATGAACAGGAAAATACAACACACCAACCTGAATGCATAACACAACACATCTATACACCACACATACATGCTTTCACAACACAAGTATACACCAGTATGTTAATAATAGTAATAATAATGCACATATGCAAATCACACAAACATGCACATGTATGGACCACACAAACATGCACACAAAGCACGTGCCACACAAACATGCAAACACATGAGCACACCACACACACATACCCAACACACAAACATGCACAACACACGCACACAATCTCTGGGAACAGCCTTTTCTGCCGGCTGATTCAGCATATGTTGGGTGAGGCAAAGCTGCCTCTGCCCCTTTAATTCCAGCCACACCTTTGCTGGTTAAACAGGTTTGAAGTCCAGGCAAAGGAAAGAAGCCGCAGAAACATTCACAACCAGGAACAGCCATCTGCAAAACTGCTGCACTTCCCTATGGCCCGGCTGAGCCCAGCCTGCTTTCCGAGTAAGCAGCCCAGCAGGGAAACAGATCTCTGCTTTACTTTATTCATTTTCTCTTGAAGTCTGGTTGAGTGGAGGGGTTGTTCTGCAGATGGGTGCAGGGAGTTTTGCAGGTTGCCTGGGTGTGTGTGTGTGTGTGTGGCGGGGGGACAGACAGACAGATTTTGGAGACCCGGCTCTGCCACTGGGATGTAGCGTGACCTTGGGCAACTCATTTCACCGCTCTGTGCCTCGGTTTCCCCATCTGCAAAGTGGGGACAGTGCTACTGCCCTCTTTTGTAAAGTGTTTCGAGATGTCTGGATGAAATGTGCTATGTAAAAGCTAGGGATTATTAATGGGTGTGTGAGATACACGTCAATACGTTATTTGTAACTTCTTTGACCCCCTCTCCCCTCCACCTCTAACATTTTGGCAACTACTTAACGACGGCCTCACAAGTGGCTCTTAATCCCCCACCCTATATTGAGCCTCACATGGGCACACTCCTACATCTCTTTAAAATCAACAGGGCCAGATCCTCAGCTGGTTTAGTGGAGAGAAACTGACAAGACACCAGCTAGGAATCTGCCCCCTCCATCACCCCCCGGGATCCCTCATGGGTGCAGTGAGTCTGCTGGTGGGGAGTGCAAAGTGGGGATGAATAAATTAACTAACCTGGTTGACAGATCTCAGCCAATCCAGGAGGGATTGCCAATATTCCCCATATTTGCCTCCCATGTTTTAAGAGTGATTAACATTGCAGGGGCCTTGGGCATTCATACGTCCCTAGTCTCTGCCTGTGGAACATCATAGTCTAGTCTCCTGAGGGCTGTCATACTTCAATCTCATTTCGGTTGTTGGGTGGTGTTGGTGGCCTGTGAGATACAGGTCAGACTAGAAGATTTGGTGGTCCCTTCTGGTCTTCCCTTTATGACTCAGTGGTATTGTAATTGTTGGCCTGCCATATGTTGTGTAGGCCTGTAGTTGAGAGGTGTCTCCCAGATCTTGTCAATCAGTGTTCACGCCGCTCCCTCTGGAGAGTTTTGCAAGGTGTGCGCATCTGAAGGACACACTAAGCAGTTTCGCTCACCACCAATGTAATAAATATCCCTCCAGGTAAGCTGACAGGTCTCTGCAAGGATTGACCAACCTGATTTTCAAAGGCAAAGAGCCGCAGCGAATGGGATGGGTTCTGCCAGAACTCACCCCTCCTGAAAATCAAGCCCTGCTCTTTTCATTGCCCTCTGGGGTCCTGAACCCCAAAATTTGCATCTCTATTCCCAACATTCAGGGGTCTTTTGGTTCAGCCAATGAGGGGCCAGCCCCAGCGCTGTAATGCAGATCCCAACTTCAGAAATGTTTTGGATCCAACATTTAGGTAGCGAGGCACAAAGTTCTGATCCAAAATCCGTGGAGTGTTTGGATTGGGTGTTTTTGAAAATTCATCCCATTATCGCTCTAGGAGTAGCCATGAAGGGTTTGTGCACTCATGGAGTTATTCTGGAATAGCTATTGGGCCGTACATTCACACCCAACCTTAATCTGAATTAACTTTCAAGTGTAGACAAGCTGTCAGTTCTGCTCTAGATCGAGGCATGCCTAGAGTTTAATGGATGTGGGATTTTGCTCAGGGTATATCTATTATTTAACCCTTTCCTAGAGCTCCATAGAAATTGATCCTGTGGGTTTTTTTCAGCAGCTGTTTCATCCCCTGGGTTTAATCATCTTAATAACAAATAGAATAGTGTTTAACTGCGCTCAGTGACGCCAGTATGATTCCAGAGCAATTCCACCAACTTCAGCTGGAAGCAGCTTGATCTAGTGGTTAGAACAGACGCCTGGGAGTCAGGACTCTTGGGCTTTCTTTTAGCTTTGGAGGAAACGTAATTTGGTGGTTACAGCAGGGGCAGGAGGGTGACAGGGACCCAGGACTCTTGTGTTCTGTTCCCAGCTCTGCCACCAATTTGCTGTGTGACCTTGGATTAATTGTCCCACTTCTCTTGATGTCCACAGCTTATAAAGGAGGGATAACAATATCTTGGAAGTGTTGATTAATGGTCGGGCTTGTGAGGGGCGTTGGCCGCTCGGGAAGGGTGATCTACAGGCCCTTCTTATTGGTATCTCATTGTGTATGTTCTTTATCCCTCCGTAGGAGGAGAACAGCGATGACAGAGGACAGCAACTAGACTCTACACCCTTAAATAGGCGATACATTCTATTGCCCGTACCACCACAAAGCCAGCCTCCCTCAGGGTCTGTCAGCTGGAACATCCCCGAAGGCCCAAGATGGCAGCTGCTGACCCCGGGGCTCACACAGAGAATGTGGCACTGGTGGAGCTGAGAAAGGAGGCGCTGGAGCCCCCAGTGCAGAAGGTGGCCTGTGGCAGTGTCCAAGACAAGAAGCCAGGAGACCCTGATGCTACTCTGCCCTGGGACCAGTCCCAGCACTCTTCCATGAGTGAGGTGGCCATGGAGCCCACCACCCCATCCCGCAAGGCATCTGAGACAGAGAAGAGGCCAAGCCCCGAGGGGAGCCGCATGGGCCCCGAGCCGGGGCCTACTGGAGAGGAGGAGGTTTTCCCCGGCTCTTCCCTTCTGCGGGAGGAGGAGGAAGGCAACAGGATGCCTGAGGTGGCCGCGCATGTTTTCATCCCCATCGATCCCCACTGTATCGAGAAGGCCCCCGGGTGCCGAGGCTCGGCAGGGGCCAGCGACTGGAAGAAGAAGCAGCATCAGCTGGAGGAAGAGGCCATCGTGTGCTGTGAGAAGGAGAATGGCGACCCCGAGAAGCTGGCCTTCCTGACCCACGGCCCCCTGAGCTACCCCACGCACTACGACGAGCCAGCTGGCTACGGCGGCGGCCAGACCAAGCCACTTTCCGAGAGGCTGCAGTGCCTCCAATGCCAGGACTGCAGCTCTGCCAACCTCAAGGCCGTGGCCTCCATGATCGGGGCCATGATCATCTTCCCCTGCTTCGTGTACGGGGCCTACGTCTTCCTGCCCTTCGACGCCCCCTTGATGCCAACCATGAGTGCCCGGCTGGTCTACACCCTTCGCTGCGGAGTGTTCGGCACCTTCCCCATCATCCTAGGTGAGCGGAGCCGAGCGATTTGGTCCTCTCTCTTCTGGGGGAGTGTTCTGGCTCTGAGAGGCAGAGCGGCTGGCTCCGGGGATGGGTTCCCACTGGAGTCAATAGGGAGCTGTAGGGCGCTCAGCACCCCTGGAGAGTTGGCTCATGGCCTACCCAGGAGTGACCGACAGCCATTCCCATCCGGTGGCTGCTTGGGGGCTGACATGAAACAAGCTGGGTGGGTCTCAGCCCAGTGTCTAGTGACCACGTCCCCCAAACCACCAATGTGACCATCACTAGCCAGCCCCCTGGCTGGGAGGCTCAGCTGAGAGGCCAAGAACTGACTGGGCCATGCACTCCTTCTGTGCAGGTCATCAGGCTGAGCGTGAGAGGGAGGAGGGATGATGGGGATGGATCACTTGATGGATCACTTGATGTTACCTGTTCCGTTCATGCCCTCTGAAGCACCTGGCATTGGCCACTGTCGGAAGACAGGATATTGGGCTAGACGGAGCTTTGGTCTGACCCAGTATGGCCGTTCTTATGTTCTTATGATCCAGTGGTTAGGTTGC